CAGACGGCTTGACCCCCCACAATCTTAATGAAACACATACTGTATTACTTTATTTCACGCAGTCGGTTGATTTAATTCATTACGATGTTTCTTTATTGAATTAAAACGAAGCTGGAGGTTTCGCGATTAACGACCTTTTCGTATTATATATGATGAACATAATCCAATTTTACAATTGAGGGAGACGCAGAAATGCAATTAATCATACGAACATTTTTATACCCCATACCAGTACACATTCCATAGCATTTTTCAGATTTGGCTTATTACACTGAGGTCAATGTTATGTAATGGCACGTCTTTTGTCTAGAAGAACGCCTAGACAGCTTAAATTAATGTTATAGCTACCTATACGTTCGCGTCATATACTGCAAAGACTAAACAATTACCTTATCTTTCGTCATGAAATAGAACAAGAATCAAAGAGGGGGTTTAGACCAATTTGCTAGGTACCGTTTTTAACAGGAAGACAATATTAGTTCCCGTTTATTGATACAGGGACCCAATTTTGACCCAGGTTATATTTTTAAGTGGGCGAGGTTTCAATCAAGATTCAAGACTGCTCTAGTTGGTATAGAAATGATCCTCGAGTTATGCCTAAATACCTTCTCTCTATAGTCTCCCAAATATGGCGAAAAATAACATAATTTACGTTTTTGATTTAAAATTGTTGCTTGGGGAGGTATTTACAAACTAAAATGATTTTCTTTAGGGTACTTTTTCCGTTCGTTTAGGTGATGGAAATGAATTTTCGTTATCATGAATACTTCATTCTACCTATATCGACACCAATTTTAAAGTTTAGGCCAGCTAATAGAGAAATCTTGATTTCAAAAATGTATACCATGTTTATAAAAAAAATCAAACATAAGTTCCAAAGTAAAAGAAAACATTTCGAGTGACATTTTATTAAGCGTCAAATGACAAAATCCACGAATTACATTAAAAGCAAGAAATAAAATCAATATTTCCTATTGATTGTTATCATGGTCTACGTTTTTGATATGCTAAATTTTTAGACCAATCTGCAATGTTTTTAACAGGAAGATAATAGAATGGGTCCGTTAACTTGGCCCCCCCCCACTGAGAGATTTCATAGTCGTATTATTTTGAAATGAATGCGCTCGTTATGCGCTCATATGCGCCACCGATAATAACTCTTGCGCCATTATCGTTTTTTAGAAATCCGAAAAAACATTGGGGGGGGGGCAAGTGAACGTAGCCCCCCCCAGTACGTATTTTGTCCCTTGTAACTAGGTCACCTGATACATTTGGTTATGCGCTCAATTGCGCCACTTGAATTAAAGCTAGCGCCATTACGGTTAAGCCATAAAAAATTTTTAAAAAGTGGAGGGTCTAACTTAGCGTTTTCAAAAGTTATTTCCGGAAGTGCGTCCATTTTGAAAATATTTTACATCGATTCGGCCTTCGGAGTAACTCCTAAATACAAATTTTTAAAAACCTACCTATTTTACTTTCCCAGAATCGTTTAACTAATGCTCCCAAAAAAACACCCTGTATAGTGTTTCTGAAACACTATAATGGCGCTAAGATTTTTGTTTACGGCGCATTTTAGCGCATGATGAAAGGTACGATGTAGTAGAAAAAACATGTTAAAAAACGTAACTTTTGAAAACGTTAAGTTAGCCCCCCCCACTTTTTAAAAATTTTTTATGGCTTAACCGTAATGGCGCTAGCTTTAATTCAAGTGGCGCAATTGAGCTCATAACCAGATGTATCAAGTGGCACAAATACCGGTAGCAAAATGCGTTATGGGGGATTCCGTTCACTTGGCCCCCCCCAAATATATTTAAGGATAACCAAAAAACAATAATGGCGCAAAGATATCTTTTTACGGCGCATTTCAGCGCATACCTGAGAGTACAATTTCGTATGAAAAGATGTTAAAAAAAAGTAACTTTTAAAAACGTTAAGTTGGCCCCCCCACTTTTTGAAAATTTGTCACGGCTTAACCGTAATGGCGCTAGCTTTGATTCAAGTGGCGCAATTGAGCGCATAACCAAATGTATCAGGTGACCTAGTTACAAGGGACAAAATACGTACTGGGGGGGGGCTACGTTCACTTGGCCCCCCCAAATGTTTTTTCGGATTTCTAAAAAACGATAATGGCGCAAGAGTTATTATCGGTGGCGCATATGAGCGCATAACGAGCGCATTCATTTCAAAATAATACGACTATCAAATCTCTCAGTGGGGGGGGGGGCCAAGTTAACGGACCCTAATAGAATCCGTGTGGCGCAGTTGATCGCTTCCGAAAATTAAAAAAGTGCAACGACAAGCGGTGGCTCAACAAGGGACCAGTAAAAAATAACGTAATTAATGAAAAACAAACTTTATCAACTAGATAAATGGCAGAAGTTACTGATGCACGCATTTGGAGCATTCTTAAAAAATAAATAACGAAATTATAAAACCAATTTAGTGCATACTTTACATAAAGGTGATGCAGAAAGAAGAATTGAGTTTTGTCAATTACTAATTGATGAATATGACAACAATCAACACATTTTAAGACAATACTATGGAACGACGAATTTAATTTTAGCAATAAAGGCATTTTCAACAGAGACACAAATAGATATTGGTCTAGAGAAAATGAAAACAGATTTAAGGAAGTTAGATCCAGTCCAGTTTCAATGTTTGGTGTGGAATATTAAATAATACCTCAATTTCTTACAAACCGAGTTCGAAAATTTCAACTCGAATCAATTTATTTTCAACAAGACGGTGCTTCTGCGCACAATGTGCGAGTTGTCCAGAGTATTTAAACCAAAAATGTTCAGATGGACGGGTAGGAACAATGGCTCATACTTTGGCCTGCAAGATCTCCGTTAAATTTTTGGGGTTACGTCAAGGATCATGCAGTTCCCGTAAATATTGCACTAAATCCAATGACAAATGATTCTAGTCAAATCACAAAATAAAATAATTGAAATCCTGAAATGATTTGACTCTAAGTACTAAACAATCGCAACCCCATATGCCATTGAACTTTGAGAAGGGGTTGAAATGTATGTAATATTTAGTTAATTTTCTGGAAAATAATTATTTTAATTGGTACATCCTATACAGGATGGCCCACTGAAAACCGTCAATGCCGCTTCACGTCAGTTTTGCCATGAAAGTTCAAATACATCAACTTCAGTCTTGAGGGAGATTTAAATTAAATCAATTGTTTACGTAATTTCAATCCCGATCAGGGGGTGAATTCCATACCAAAAATTTTAAATGGAAAGGGATGGTAAACGTTCGAAAGGAATTTTCGGTCTGTTTTCGCTGTTTTTATTTTTCAAATCCGAAAATGGAATTGACTGTTTTAAGTGGACCATCCTGCATGAAAAATGAGCGTCCAGTTTATGCATTATAAATAATACGTAATGATTCCTTTTATGAGCCATTATAACGCCACGTTTCACCGATTACATTATTATCAAAAGTCCATAACGCACAGTTTCTCGTATTTCGTAAATAGCGATAATAATCAGGGTAATTAAATAATTTCAAACCGAAACCATTAATTACCATAATAATAACTAATTAAAACTTCTGCAACTTGGATTTACTAGGAAATCAGCCATCTGTTATCCTAGAACGAACCCGCCCTTTCTGCAACAGTTGGCCGATAAAATTTGTTTGTCAACACACCACCGCCGTATCATCGAAACAAAATTTATAAGGGTAACGAAGAACGCCTTTGAAATTGTAGTTTTGACTTTCGTTACATAATTTCAGTGATTAGGTAGGTAAATCCAAGTAAATAGGAGAAAGTTTTCACCGTCGAGGCGCCGAGCGTAAGGAGCAAAGGGTTCACCCTAAATACTTAAAAATTACTTTGTGGCTTTATAGTTTATGGTCAATTATGTCTGTGAAAAAATGACGTGTGAAAATACTCGTAAGTATAAATCACCAATAAAGCATACATACATATACGCTGTCTCTAAAATAAGGATGTCTATCTGAAACCATACCAAAAAATTCCAATTACTCCCGAAGATATGCTAGAGAAGCCGAAATCGTTATTATTTTTTCCTGATGTTATTTGAGCAGATAGGTACAAAAAAAAATTAAAAAAAAAAACATTTTCTCAATGCCATTATTTGAGCTCTACGAGACGGCGTTGAGGGATTTTCAATGCAACGTTTCGTTTCAGAGAAATCATCCTCAACTTTTTTTATCTGGCTCGTAAAAAAAGTGCATACTGTATTGAGTAGCACGTTTATTCCGAATACAACGATATACGGCACACAAAAAAAGCAAAAGTTGAAAACTGTCGGTTTCAACAGGATGGTGCACCCGCGCACAGCACCCTAATCCTGCAAGAATACCTATCGGAGAAATTTTCCATTTTCTAGAAAATTTGTTCTTTCCTTTCTAGGCATGCTGTTCCGAAGAACGTCAATCTTTCTTCTTGCAAATAAGGTTGTTGTCTTATGGTTTAAAAGGAATGGTGATTGGGGTTTCATGTTCCATTACCGAAAAATATGTTATGTGGAATAAACACGAGTTTACGAATGAAATGTACATGTACAGACCTCCCACTCAAGGTAATTCCAAAGTTTAACAACGAAAATTCCAAAGAAGCGTCTCATGCTTTGAATATACCCCATAAACCACGATTGTAGCCCACAAGACAAATTTAGTTTTCGCACTGGTTGAAGACGAGACGGGATTTATGTGCGGAAATTGTAGCAGTACTGAAGCTTGTTGAAAGGGTAAAACACGAAAATATGCATTTTACTGGATATAAAATAAAACAAATCATACGAAGCTGAGGATATTTTGTAATTGTTATTCTAAACTCAAGCTGTACGTGGAAAGTTTTCAGCTACAAAAACACATATAGATTTTGCAGATCGGCACTTTCCTAAAATCAACAGTTTGATTCATTTTCAATTTCATGTAAATTTGCTTGGGCAAGTTGATTTTTAATTAAAATTTTTCCTACATTATACACGGCAACTAAAAGATTCATCCCTTACCTTAATTCTTGAAGTAGAGCCTCGCCCTGTGCGATCGTAGACGCGCAAGCATCTAAACTTTGATCGCGATGCTGAGCGGTCTGCTCGAGGAGTCTCTCGGTATTGTCCAAACTTTCGGCGACGCTCTCATCGCCCTGCAACTCCTGCCGCAGCTCGTCGACCCAGGTGCTCAACTCTTTCTCGTGCGTGTAAAATAAGACGGCCAGATCTAATCGGCGTCGACGTTGTTCGACCCTCGCGGCGAAAGAAGTTACGTGAGCCTCGAGTTCGTGAGCGACCGTGTAGATTTCATCGGCATCGCACTCTCCGGTGTGCGCCAATTCTTCGGCAGCCGCAAGAAGCTTATCCGCGTTCGTGTACGTATTCTGTAATTAAAAGAAATATCCATTAACGTCCAGACGTCGAACTCGAGCGGGATACAATAATATAAAGAGTGTGCTCAAAACAGTTTGACTGCTGCGATAAAATAATTAAAAACCAATAGCTCACGTGAAAGTTCTTTGATCTTATTACTCCGCGACGTATTAATAAACCAATAATTGAGTTACTCAAGTGGATAATTATTACAGAGTTCATTTCCATTACCATGTGGAATTACTGTCACATTAGAGAGACGTATATAAGTGCTTTGTTCCGGCCGTTCTGTCATTATTTTTGTTCCTAACGGTGATTCTAAAATCTGCATACACGCCGGGAAAGTTAAAAGCGCATTTAAAATGCAATTATCTTTATAGCGAATTGAAACAATCGCGTTTTCTGCCACTGTATTTATAATTGCATAACGCTGGAGCGTTGCGAATTTTAAACAAACATTTAAGAATGAATGCTGCCAAGATGTTGAAGATAAAATCTCGGGCGAATCCGGAATTTTACTTACAGAGAGAATTTTTTATTATCTCAACATGGGGAGCTTTTTTCTTATACGCATTGTTTTTAGTAATTGAAATCCTTTTCATTTTTCTTCCTTCCTCTACTCATATGCTTGGTTCCATTGCATGTATTTGTAATATAATTCATATTATATAAAAATATAACATGGAAATTGTCTTACGCCCTTCAGAAAAGGATTTACTTCGTATCAATAACGACTACTGCAGTGGAACAGTTCTGCATACTTGGATAATGCATAACTAAAACATAGGCTTCTGTGGGAAAATTTTAAAAATCCGCCCGTCTTAGTTTCTTGTCCTACATTTAGGATAATTTTCGACTCGGATTTTCACTTTACGACACCCCAGTGAAGGTGAGAACCGAAGAATAAATTTTGGATCGTATTCTCTAGACCCGCACCAAGGTCTAAATGTATAGAAGCCATTTTTAGAGGTTCTCGTAGAAGAACCATATCAAAAAATGAAAAAGTCATAAACTCGTCTACTACTTTCAATATATAAACCATAGCTGTTTAGGTATTCTCTATTTGAGATTATCTCTTGCAATATTATTCAATATTTCAAATAGAATTTGGTATATTTTAGCATAAAGGTGTAGTAAAGAAAACTTACTTCTTAATCTAACTTTGTATTAAACCGGAAAAGTTAAGGGAAACTCATTAAAAACAGCTTGAAAGGTTTATTGATGTTAACTGTTTAATACATATTAATGGGTCCATTAACTTGGCCCCCCCACTGAGAGATTTGATAGTCGTATTATTTTGAAATGAATGCGCTCGTTATGCGCTCATATGCGCCACCGATAATAACTCTTGCGCCATTATCGTTTTTTAGAAATCCGAAAAAACATTTGGGGGGGGGGCCAAGTGAACGTAGCCCCCCCAGTACGTATTTTGTCCCTTGTAACTAGGTCACCTGACACATTTGGTTATGCGCTCAATTGCGCCACTTGAATTAAAGCTAGCGCCATTACGGTTAAGCCGTGACAAATTTTCAAAAAGTGGGGGGCCAACTTAACGTTTTTAAAAGTTACTTTTTTTTAACATCTTTTCATACGAAATTGTACTCTCAGGTATGCGCTGAAATGCGCCGTAAAAAGATATCTTTGCGCCATTATTGTTTTTTGGTTATCCTTAAATATATTTGGGGGGGGGGGCAAGTGAACGGAATCCCCCATAACGCATTTTGCTACCGGTATTTGTGCCACTTGATACATCTGGTTATGAGCTCAATTGCGCCACTTGAATTAAAGCTAGCGCCATTACGGTTAAGCCATAAAAATTTTTAAAAAGTGGGGGGGGGCTAACTTAACGTTTTCAAAAGTTACGTTTTTTAACATGTTTTTCTACTACATCGTACCTTTCATCATGCGCTAAAATGCGCCGTAAACAAAAATCTTGGCGCCATTATAGTGTTTCAGAAACACTATACAGGGTGTTTTTTTGGGAGCTTTAGTTAAAAGATTCTGGGAAAGTAAAATAGGTAGGTTTTTAAAAATTTGTATTTAGGAGTTACTCCGAAGGCCGAATCGATGTAAAATATTTTCAAAATGGACGCACTTCCGGAAATAACTTTTGAAAAAGCTAAGTTACACCCTCCGCTTTTTAAAAAATGTTTATGGCTTAACCGTAATGGCGCTAGCTTTAATTAAAGTGGCGCAATTGAGCGCATAACCAAATGTATCAGGTGACCTAGTTACAAGGGACAAAATACGCACTGGGGGGGGGGGGCTACGTTCACTTGCCCCCCCCCCCCAAATGTTTTTTCGGATTTCTAAAAAACGATAATGGTGCAAGAGTTATTATCGGTGGCGCATATGAGCGCATAACGAGTGCATTCATTTCAAAATAATACGACTATGAAATCTCTCAGTGGGGGGCCAAGTTAACGGACCCCATATTAATGAGTTTGGTTGTCGTGAGAACTATGAAAATTGAATGAATCAATTAGTGTCGGTTATAGTTACTACATTTATTTTAATTTTTATAATCATTTATGATGATTTGTTGCTAATACATATTGCCACACATCATTTTCAGTAAAAAATTGTTTGACAATTGCCTAGGGCCTGTAACACACGCCTTACAATTGTTAGAATATATTTTACACTTGTAGCTCTTTCTCCATAACATAACTTGTAGTTATAGTTACAGGCAGATTACTTGAAACTTATAGACTTGTTACAATTTTATTGATAGTTTGTGCTACAGGCATTCGGAAACAAGACTATTAATCCGGCTCATTATTCAATAGCACTGATCCTTGAAATCGATTGGTGACAAAACCATCATCCCGTAAGAGGAATTTCTTTCGAAAAAAAACAGCGGACGAAAAAGGAAAGGTCGAACTGTTCTTGTTCATGAATCGGGTCCTGATGATGACCCAAATAATTTCCCCCCGATAACAATCTGTTCCCTTTTTCCCCGAGTGTTCAAGAGAATTATTGACCGTAAAACACGTGAATGCAATGATCCCGTAAGGTCACACCGTTCTGCCGCTTTTCTATGTAGATCCTCTTTACACGCTTTAGTAGGGTTCTACACGCGAAGTGAACGTGGGGTGGTGCAAAATTGGTTCTTTACAGTACAAATGAGTATATACCAAATTAAAGAAAAAAATTTGCATTTTGTAAATTTGTTGGGTGCAGTAAAACCATCTCCAAAAACAATTAGATATTTTATTTTTAAATATTATGCCTAGAAAAGACGCAAAGATCAAGGGAGATACCCTTATGAACAAGAGGCACGATGGATCTGTAGAGAAGGAGACTAAAGGTACAAGGAGAAAATACAGAGGAAGAGTTTTAAAAAAGCAGTGACGTGGAAAACCTGAAGGGGGGGGGGAGAAAATATAAAGGAGTGGTAGGACAGCGAGTATACAGAATAGAGAAATAGATATAGAGATATGATAGAGAAAGAAAGAAGAGGTGAGGGAACGAAAAAAAGTACAAAAGAAAATGTAAAAAAAACAGAGGATTTTTTTTGGAATGTGATAAACGGAGGAAAAAAATTAAACGTTCTGAAAAAACCGGAAAACGGCAAGGAGAGGCGAGATTTTCGCAACAGATAGGGTCTAGAAGAGGATAAAAAGTCTAGTAAACGAGTATGGAAAGGAGGAGGTTTACCCGAAAAATGAAAGGAAGAAGTAATTGTTCCGCTCTTCAACAAGGGAACAAAGATTATGTGAGAAATTATAGGAAAATTACTACGGCGTATAGAATCTAGGTAATGATACTGAACGAAAGACTAGAAAGAGAAATGGAGACGTCAGAAAAGGAAGGGGAATGATAGACAGCATTATTGCACAGATGCGTAAAAGAGGAATTGCAAAATCAGAGCAGGATGTAGTCTCGTTTTTCGTGGACTGAAAGGCAGCGTTTGAAAAAGTGAAAAGGGAAAAAGTATGAAGATGTGTTTTGGAGATGTAAAGGACTAAGACAGATGTCCACTTACCAACCATATTTAATCTGGAGTACTTAAGAGACATGGAAAAACTATTAAGACAGAGTCAAGGTGGAGGGATCATAGTGGGAAGAAGAAAGATATGGTCCCTGGTATACGCGAAAGACACGGTGCTTATAACAGAGGTAGAACAGACGAAGGAAAAGATGGGAAGAACGGAAAGGTATTGGGAAAGAAATGGAATGGAGTTAATAATAATAATAATAATAATAATGGTTTTATTTAGTTAACCCGTCAACTAAAACAAAAAAACAAAAAATTAAAAAATTAACACAATTATAGTATAAAAAGTAGAGGGCAACTAAATTGGGCGATGTTCAGATACAGACGAGGATACGCCTGATCTGCTCTTCCACACTACCCACTCATAACTATATTTAACATATTAATAATGTTGTGCAATGGACTAACAGACAAAAATTTAAAAAAAGAATTAATTTGTGATAACTACTAACTATATGATGTATAATACATTGGTTCATGGTAATATGGAATAACACAGTAAAAAGATGTTATTGCCGCTGCCGGTCAAGTACGATTTTGCGGACGTATTTTTTAAATTGAGATGTGCTAAGTTTTTTACAAGTGTCAGGAAGCGAGTTGTATAGGTTACCCACTTGGTACGTAAATGATCTTTCAAACAGAGCCGTTTTGTGATAAGGGGGTGTGATTAAATGAATCAATCTGGGATTAGTACTGAATCTAATCTTTTCATATAGATACAAAGGAAATTTTGCATTAATTATTTTGTGGTATAATACTGCAGCATGAACAAATCTCCGATTATCCATATTCAGCCAGTTTAATTCATTAAACTTATGGGAGATGTGTTCATGCTTTCTAATACCATAAATGAGTCGCACGCATGAATTTTGCATTTTCTGAATCTTGGTTCTATCGGAAACCTCCAAACAAGGTCCATAGACACTATCACAATAATTATATTGTGACAGTACTAACGCCTCACAAAGTATAATTTTTGTGGCCCGATTAAGGAGGTGGCGATTATTAAAA